GTGGGAATACAGGGAGCATTCCTCAATATAATAAAGGCCATATATGAGAGACCTACAGCCAATATCATACTCAATGGGAAAAAACTAAAAGCTTTTCCACTAAGATTAGGAACAAAACAAGGATGTCCACTTTCACCACTTCTATTCAGTATAGTTTTGGAAGTTTTAGCCACAGGGATCAGGCAAGAAAAGGAATTAAAAGGCATACAAATAGGAAAGGAGGAAGCAAAACTGTCACTGTTTGCAGATGACATGATAGTCTACATGGAAAATCCTATAGACTCTACCAAAAAACTGCTGGAACTAATTAATGAATTTGGCAAAACAGCAGGATACAAAGTCAATATCCAGAAATCAAGGGTATTTTTGTATACTAACAATGAATCAGCAGAAGCAGAAATCAAGGAAAAAATCCCATTTGATATAGCAAAAAGAAAAATAAAATATCTGGCAATAAACCTAACTAAGGAGGTAAAAAACCTGTATGCAGATAAGTACACAGCACTGAAGAAAGGAATCAGGGAAGACACAAACAAATGGAAACATATACCTTGTTCATGGATTGGAAGAATTAACATCATCAAAGTGTCCATACTACCCAAAGCAATATACACATTCAATGCAATACCTATTAAAGTACCAATGGCATATTTCACAGACATAGAACAAACACTTCAAAAATTTATATGGAACCATAAATGACCCCGAATAGCAGCTGCACTTTTGAGAAAAAGAACAAAGTAGGAGGGATCACAATACCTGATATCAAACTGTAGTACAAGGCCACTGTAATCAAAACAGCCTGGTACTGGCATAAAAACAGGCACATAGACCAATGGAACAGAACACAGAGCCCAGAAATCAACCCAACTCTCTACAGTCAATTAATATTTGACAAAGAGGGCAGTAACATAAAATGGTATAAAGATAGCCTCTTCAACAAATGGTGCTGGGAGAACTGGACAGCTGCGTGCAAAAAAATGAAACTTAAGCACCAACTTACACCATATACCAAAATAAATTCAAGATGGATAAAATACTTAAATATAAGCCATGACACCATTAAAGTCCTAGAGGAGAACATCGGCAAGAAGATATCAGATATTTCACGCAGGAACTTTTTTACTGATATGTCCCTTAGAGCAAGGAATGTAAAGGAAAGAATAAACAAATGGAATCTCATCAAAATAAAATCGTCTGCGTGGCTAAAGAAAACAGTATTAAATTAGCAAGACAACCAACTCTATGGGAAAACATATTTGCCAATGATACCTCAGACAAAGGTTTAATCTCCAAAATATACAAAGAACTTACACAACTCCACTCTAAGAAGACACCCAACCCAATTAAAAAATGGGAAAAGGATTTGAACAAACACTTCTCCAAGGAGGATATACAGAACATCCAGAGACACATGAAGAGATGCTCAATATCATTAGCTATCAGAGAGATGCCAATTAAAACCACAATGAGATACCCCTTTACACCAGTCAGAATGGCTATCATAAACAAAGCAACAAACAACAAATGTTGGAGAGGGTGTGGGGAAAAGGGGTCCTTACTTCACTGTTGGTGGGATTGCAGACTGGTACCACCATTATGGAAAACAGTATGGAATTTTCTCAGAAAAATAAAAAGCGACCTGCCTTTTGACCCAGCAATTCCACTGCTAGGATTATATCCTAAGAATCCTAAAACATCAATATCAAAGAACCTATGCAGCCCAATGTTCATAGCAGCACAATTTACAATAGCCAAGAGTTGGAAGCAAACTAGGTGCCCATCAGTAAATGGATGGATCAAAAAATTGTGGTACATATACACAATGGAATTCTATGCAGCATAGAGAAAGAAGGAGCTCCTACCCTTTGCAACAACATGGATGGAACTGGAAAGCATTATGCGGAGTGAAATAGGCCAGGTGTTGAAAGACAAATACCATATGATCTCACCTTTAACAGGTAGCTAAACAAAAAAACAAACAAGCAAGCAGAAAGAAAACAAAACCAAAGACACTGAAATAGAGAACAAGGGGACAGTGACCAAAGGGGAGAGGGAAGGGAAGTTAAGGGGGAAAAGGGAGATGGATTTGGAGGAACAAATAGGAAGGACACAGGGACGAGAACTAAAGGGGTTGGAAATGGGAGGGAGGTGGGGAGCAAGGGGCAGGGAAGGCTGGTATGGGAGAAATAGACAAAAAAACTGTACTTGAAAAATAACTAAATAAATGTTCCAACATCTGAATTATAGGGGTACCAGAAGGAGAAGAGGAAGGACAACAAGTGGAAAAGTTATTTGAACAAATAATAAAGGAGAACTTTCCCAATCTGGCAAAGGAAATAGACTTCCAGGAAGGCCAACAAGCTCAGAGAGTTCCAAAGAAGTTGGACCCAAGGAGGAACACACCAAGGTACATTATAATTACATTAGCCAAGATTAAAATGAAGGAGAGAATCCTAGAAGCAGCAAGAGATAAGGGGACAGTCACCTACAAAGGAGTTCCCATCAGAGTGTCAGCTGATTTCTCAAAAGAGACCTTACAGGCAAGAAGGGGCTGGAAAGAAGTATTCCAAGTCATGAAATCCAAAGACCTACATCGAAGATTCCTCTATCCAGCAAAGCTCTCATTTAGAATGGAAGGGCAAATAAAATGCTTCTCAGATAAGGTCAAGTTCAAAGAGTTCATCATCACCAAGCCCGTATTATATAAAATGTTAAAGGTACTTATCTAAGAAAAAGAAGATAAAAAACATGTACAATAAAATGATAGCAAACTCACAATTATTAACAACCACAACACTTAAAACAAAAACAAACTATGCAAACAACTAGAATAGGAACAGAACCACAGAAATGGAGATCACATGGAGGGTTAGCAACAAGGAAATAGGAGGAGGAGAGAGAGGGAAAAGCTACAGAGAATAAATAGCATAGCTGGTAGGTAGAAAATAGACAGGGAGAGGGTAAGAATAGTATGGGAAATGTAGAAGCTAAAGAACTTATAGGTGTGATACATGAACATTATCTAAAGGGAGGAATGTGGATGTGGATGTGCAGGGTGGAGCGGAGTGAAGGGGGGGAAATGGGACAACTGTAATAGTATAATCAATAAAATATATTTTAAAAATAAAAATAACAAAAAAGAATAGTATAGAAAAAATTTTTAAAAAATAAAAGAAACAATTCAACAAACAATTAAGTGCGAGCAAGGCTGTGGAGGCAAGGGAACCCTGGGTGGGAATTCAGACTGGTGCAGCCACTGTGGAAACAGTATGGAATTTCCTCAAAACACTAAAATGGAATTGCTTTTTGATCCAGGAAATCCACTGCTGGGATTGTACCCTAAGAATCCTGAAACACTAATTCAGAAGAACCTATGCACTCCAATGTTCATAGCAGCACAGTTTACAACAGCCTAGTGCTGGAAGCAACCTAGTGCCTATCAGTAATGACTGGATCAAGAAACTGGTACATTTTCACAATGGAATACTATGGAGCAGAAAGAAAGAAGGAGTTCCTACCCTTTGCATCAACATGGATGGAACTAGAGAGCATTATGTAAGTGACATAAGCCTGGCAGTGAAAGTCAAATACTACATGATTCCACCTGTAAGTGGAACCTAAATAACAAAACAAACAAGCAAGAAAAATATATCTACAGATATTGAAATTAAGAACAAACTGACAGTAATCAGAAGGGAGGGGAAGGGAAATAATGAGGGAAAGAAGGGAAAGGTTCATCAACGAACATATATAAAGGAGCCATGGACAAAGCAAAGGGGGTAGGATTTAGGGTGGGGAGGGTGGGAAAGTCGTGGTGGGAAAATGGAAGCAACTGTATTTAAACATTAATAAAAAGATGATTAAAAAGAAAAAACTGGACAAAAATAAATTGAACAGCAATGAAACATTGGGAAATGGAAAGAACAAGGCAGTGATCCCTAGCAGGAGAAAAACGCCTTATGATGATCACCCCTGCTTACTGCCTAAAGTTTCTAGGCTACAGCATAAGAAAGAGGAACCCCAAAAGAGTTTCCTTGAGTTCAGAGAGAAAGCTTAGAGTTTTGACACCTAGAATTTACAGGGCACAGTACTAGAGATTGGGAGTGCAGGAGCCCCATTAGATGTGCATGGGATTTGATGTAGAAAGAGGCTTTTACTACCGACTCCAAAGTTCTTGATATGTTTCCATTCTACCTAGACAGGGATCTCTTGGATCAGAAGTCCCTATACAACCTTGGAGTACCATAGAATGTATATCTGCCCTTGTTTTAAACAAGGCAACATAAGGGTTTAAAGCTGATGTTGAAAGAGGGTAGCAATAGATTTTTTCCAACCAAATGAATTGCTTCATTCTAAACTGTATTCCATAGCATACATGACATGATTGTTACAAATTCCCTCCCGTATTAAACATAAGCAACATTTCTCCTTTCCATTGACGAGTTGTCAGAAGTTTAATATACTGGTTCTAGCAGCTTTAACTATAGCTGGTTACTGTTTATGACATGATCTGTAATAAAGAATAACAAAATCTACAACTATTCTCTTAACTTCCTTACTGCCCCACCTTAAAGGTCTGCCACCCCTGCAATATTTCATGAGCATATTTTAATCACAACAAAAAATCCTCCATTCCAAAGAATAACATGATCTTCCTCAAAAATGAGTCTATTTTTACTAACATGTAGCCTCAACTGGGAATTTCAATACTTATTTAATAGCCAGCTCAACTGTATGACTGCAAAATACAAGGAATCTATGTTGTAACTGGGAACAAGTATGAAGGACACATGGACAAAAACTAGGGGGGATGGAGGTGGGGAGCACTGAGAGGATGGGCTAGGATGGGAGTAAAAGACAGAGAACTGTACTTGAACACCAATTAAAATAAAATTTTAATTAATTAATTAATTACTGCTTTAAAATTGTAGAAAATTATAGAAATAATGCTCTCAACAGTTTTTAACACAATAATCTTTAAATGACTGAAAACTTACGTGGCTCAGTTTCAGAAATATCTGTAAGTCCTACAGCTGAGTGGGTTTTTATGAATTCTGAAATAATAGTGAATGTTATAAGTTTCAAATATCAATGATATGTATTGAGTTTAAATTATGCAATTTTTATCTAAATAACTCATTCAAGAGGAAAATATTCACAAGAGTCACAATAGAGCTTCCAACCCATAGATCCTCCCAAGTAAGCAACAATCATAATATCTGCAAGAATACACATAACACTTGTGTGATGTGAACTCATCATTTTTTTCAAAAGAAGCTGTTTTTCTCTAATATCCTCTTAGGTAATTTTACCATCATTTAATTACCCTTCCTTTCACATATAGTCACCAAGTTTTGCCAATTTGACAAGGTACATATTTCTCAAATCTTCCCCCTCCTCTTTTACTTGTGCTCTAACATAGGCATTTATTACATATATAAGATACAGCAAAAACTTCTCTTTCCTACTCCTGGACCCCAAATCTAGTTTCTACAATGTGGCTGGAATAATCTTAAAAATAAAATATAATAAAGTCACTTCCCTACAAAAAAAACCCTTCAATGATTCCATATTATATAACATAAGTAAATTAATTAACTTTTTTTTTAATGTTTCTTAGCACAGCATCTAGTGCCTCTGACTAGGTTCTCCCCAACCATATCTCTACCTATTGCTTTATGGTCTAATACCATTCCAATTATTAATCCCCCATTCATGCTATTTGTTCATACTTGATCTTTCTTTTAAAGTGCCATGTTTATAGCAGCCCAATTTACAATAGCCAAGATTTGGAAGCAACCTAGGTGCCCATCAGTAAATGAATGGATCCAAAAACTATGGTACATTTACACAATGAAATTCTATGCAGCAGAGAGAAAAAAAGGAGCTTACAGCCTTTGGGACAGCATGGATGGAACTTGAAAGCATTATGCTGAGTGAAATAAGCCAGTCAGTGAAGGACAAATACCACATGATCTTACCTTTAACAGGAAACTAAACAACAAAACAAACAAGCAAGCAAAATATAACCAAAGACACTGAAATAGAGAACAGGCAGACAGGGACCAGAGGGGAGAGGGGAGGGAATTTCAGGGGAAAAGGGGAAGGATTCACAGGAACAAGTATAAAGGACACATGGACAAAAACTAAGGGGGGTGGAAATGGGAGGGAGGTGGAGAGCACTTGGGGGGGGGCTGGGAAGGGAGTAAAAGACAGAAAACTGTACTTGAACAATAATTAAATTAAAAATATTTTTTAAAATAAATAAATAAAATAAAGTGCCAAACATCTCCCTTCTTAAATTAAATAAGTCCTACTCATGTTTTAATGTTGCATAAAATGTTACAACTCCTCATATTGAACAAATTGGCTTCTTTCTGTAGACTCATTTAAAATAATACAAATATTTAGCATGTATTACTTTATGAAAAATGATATATCATGTGTTTGTGCCCTTAGTAAATTTTGGGTTTTGTGGGAGTACCAAATAAATTTTAGTCATTTTATATTCTCAGAATCTGCAATATAATGAGAAGTTTTATTGAAATTATCAAACTCACTATTGAATATCTTTTTAATTAAATTAATTGAGGTGACATTGGTTAATAAAATTTTATAGGTTTCAAGTACAGTTCTATGATACATCATGTGCACATTGCATTATGTGTTCACCAACCAAAGTCAAATCTACTTCTGTCTCCATATATTTGACCCCCTTTATTCTTTCTACCTTCCCCATACCCTTCTTTCCCTCTGGTAACACCTTATTCAACTTACTATTGTATAATTTTATGACTATAAACCCTTAAACTGTACATCTCAAAATATTAGTGCATTTAGGTAACCTTATGAAGGCAAACATATATAAAATATCACCTTCAATTTTCTGCAGTACATTTTCATCATCTTGTACTGCTTTTGGTAGATTTTCACTATTCCTGTTAAAATGTCAATAAATAAAACATATTTATTATCAAAGTATAAGATTCTTAGATAGGTAGAATATATACTCTATACATATTCAGTTTTTAAAATAAACTCTAACACATTCTCTAACCTTTACTCACTGACAATCAATTATTAGTGAGCAAAAAATGTTTAAAAGGCAAACAGTGTGATTCTATGAATGCTATCCATTCCATGAATACAATTAGGTATACCAATAAAGTTAACAACAAAAATAGAAAAAGTAAATAGGGTAGAAGCATGAGATATCCTTCCACTAATGTTTTATTAATGGTGTATGCATTAAGAGCACAAGTCCTAGAGTGAGAATACCTGCCCCAAAACCTGTTTTTACCCACTTACTAATTATGTGACCTTGTTACTTAAGTTACTGAACCTCTCTAAACTTCACTTTCTTCGTCTACTAAAACTAAGCTATTAGAGTACTTATAAAAGTACTCCTAAGGACCACAGGATACATGAAAAGTTGCAAGGAAAACATTTAGCATACAGCAGGCAATTACACTTAATTGTCTGCTGTATGCTAAATATTAAAATATGACTAGAAACTAACTTCATACCTCACCAAAGATAGCTGAAAGGAATATATCTGGACCTCTGAACCAAGGATCTATTTTGAAACTCCTGCGGGAGCCAACTCATGTACCACTCCCTTCATCCCTTTAAGTCTAATCATTGACAAATGGAGCTATCAATAAAGTACTTGCAAAATGAATAGTTGTCCCTTCCAATTATGGGTACTTTCTATTTCGACACTGTAAAATTAAGAGGTTTGGAATATATTTAATATAAATAAAAAGAGTTGTTTATAAAAGTAAAATTTTACTTAGATAGGTTGCTTAGATAGATCAATACAAAGGTAAGAGAATAATACAGGAACAAATGAAAAAATATTTCATATTTGTGGAATGAAATAATTAACATTGTTAAAATGCCCATACTACCCCAAGTGATCTATAGATTCAATGCAGTCCCCATCAAAATTCCAATGACACTTTTCATAGAAATAGAACAGCAATACTAAAATTTATATAGAATCAGATAAGAGCCTACATAGCCAATGAAACCTTCAGAAAAATCAAAGTTGGAGAAACCATACTTCTTAATTTCAAGCTATACAAATCAATACATTGTTATGCTGGCATAAAAATAGGCACTTAGACCAACTGAACAGAAAAAAAAGCCCTCATGCAGCAATCAATTCATCTTGGACAAAAATGCCAGGAATATGTAAGAAAGGAAGGGCAATCTCTTCAATAAATGGTGCTGAAAAAATAGGATATCTGCATGTAAAAAAAACAAAATAAGGTCATCACTTTATTCCACATGAAAAAACGAACTCAAAATAAAGACTTAAGTGTAAGTATTGAACACATAAAATAGCAAGAACAAAAATTAGGAAACAAGACTCCTTAAAATTGGTATTGGCAATGATATTTTAGATGCTACACCAAAATTACAGTTAACAAAAGAAAGAGTAAACAAATAAAGTTACATCTAATATAAAAGTTTAGGTACAATAAAAGAAATATCAACAAAATGATAAAGCAACCTATAGAATGGGAGAAAATATCTTCACACCATAATCTGACAATGGATTTATATCCAAAACATATAAGCAACTTACAGAAATCAAGAGCAAAAAACAAATAACACAGTTTTTAAAATGGAGAAAGAAATGGACAAATGAATAGATATTTTCCACAGAAAATAGACAAATGGCCAGCAGATACATAAAAAGGTACTCAACATCACTAATCATCAGGGAAATACAAAGCAAAAGCACTGTGAGATATCACTTCACACCTGTTAGGATGGCCATTACTGAAACGACAACAGACAAGTGTTGGTGAGGATGTGGAGAAAGGGAACACTTGTACACTGCTGTTGACAATGTGAATTTTAGAACCTTAAGGGGCAACAATATGTTCCTAAAAAAAAACATATAAAAAAGAATTACCACCATATAATCCAGCAATCCCACTTCCAAGTTTTATCTAAAAACAGTGGAATCTGTATCTCCAAAGAGATATCTGCACTCCCTCATTTATTGCAGTATTGCTGATAACTGCCAAGATATGGAAACAACTTAGCTTACAGTGAATGGATACAGAAATCATGGTAAATATATACAAAAGGAATACTACTTGGCCATAAATACAAAATGCTGTTATCTATCACAACATAGATGAACCTGGAGGACATTATGCTAAATGAAATAAGCCCAACAGAGAAAGACACATTATCTCACTTACATGTGAAATCTAAAAAAGTCAGACTCTTAGAACCAGAGAGTACAATGGTGGTTTCCAGAATATGGGGGATTGAGGAGATGGGGAAATGTTGGTCAAATGGTACAAACTTTCAGTTATAAGTTGAATACATCCTAGAGATCTTATGTACATCATGGTATTTACACTTAATAACACTACTGTATTGTATTCTTGAAATTTGTTAAGGGAATGGATCTGAAGTGTTCTCAGATAGTAACGTGCACACAAATAGTAACTCTGTGAGGAGGGAAGAAACCATGGAAGATATTCTATAATGATGATTTATTCGTCTACTTAATTTCAAGACAGGTAATCCTCAAATATCAAAAATGAGCATCGACAGATAATGGGAGTATCACTATAATCATTCATTTGAATGTCCACCCACTAGGAAAAAAGAAAGGCTTTTCTCAACTAACAGGAGAAATTTATTCTTTGGAAGATATCCCTGTCCCCATGTAACTTTAAATAATGATGTTCATGAACAATAAAATATTTAATCCCACTTTAGTTTTCTATTTATTATGCAGGCTACCCAATCAAACTAAAAGAAAGTTCATAGGTCAGATATTCCAAAGCCAGCAATGTCTGAAAGAACTTTCCAACAGTAGCCATAGCTACTAAGCACTTGAAATGTAGCTAGTGTAACTAAGAAATTGGTTTTTTAATTAAATTGAATTGAATTTTCATTTTAATAGCCACTATGGCTAGTGTCTACTGTGTTAAACAGTGCCACTTCAAACTATTAAAGTTTTCAAATAGAAACAAGCTGACTAGACCTTCTGATTTGACCTAGAAGCTCTATGTGTAGTGTAATATCTGAACCATTACCTCACATTCATTACTAGTTACATACCCACTTATGTTTTATTCTATAAACTCATATTCTACTTACTCGGGCTTATATAACATGACTTTAGCAGAGCTTTCGGATCCATCTTTAAGGTGACTTTTCAGCTCTTCAAGATTTTGCACACACTTCACGGCTTGTGTGACACTCAAAGTGGCTGCTTTATCAGGGGTTGGCAACTCTGCATCTGAAAGACTTTGATCTTTACTTACCTAAAACAATTAAAATTAGCAAGGTACTTAGGAAATACCCATTTTGCTTCCCTACTTCAAAGAACTTTCATTGTTTCATATATCGTATCTAAATAAATTTATATTTTTCTTATATAGCTATAGCCAAATATACTTATATGAGCAATTGCCTATCAACAGCATTATAGCTAAGTGTTGACTTTTACAAGTCAAAATTCAAATCTAAATCTTCTGTTTGTTATTTTAATGCATACGAATTTTAAACAAGTACAATAACTATAGCAGCATTAAATGCAACTCAAGTTATTCACAAGAGAATTTAAAGTAATTGCTTCCTCAAAATTGATTCTAAGAATACCCTTATTGTGATAAATTATGGAAAAATGTGCTCTCAAAGGCAAATATCAAAGGCTAATACTAGCCCCCAGAAATTAATATATAACGGTCTACAGAGCTGGCATACCTCAGTATGCATGGAAGACTCATTTATGAGTGTTTCAAGCTTTTTGGAATAGACCACGCTACAAAGTAACGAGAAGTCAGGAGAATTAGCAAAATCCACCATATAAGATGACAGACCATAATTGGTATTCTGGGCAATAACCCTACTTAAAGAAAGGTCAGCAAAAATGAGTGCCCCCAAGTAACTTCAGAGGAATGGCAGTGTGAGCCATCCCCTTGGTGTCTCCCTTTGAAGTTCCAGATATCTGAATAGATCTAGCGCAACAAAGAATTCCCTGCTCAACGGAAAAACGTGATTGAGAGTTTCGAGTATTGAAACACCTAAAGTAGGCAAGTGAAACAAAAGAGAGATGCGAAAAGGGGAGTGGAGCTGACAGGAGCCAAGGACACAGCCCTGTAGCCAGGAGCTCAAGGCAGGACTCTTACCAGAATGGGAAGGAGCCTGATGGTAGCTGACACCCCCCTTCAGTAGGAGGAACAAAGAGACTCAGTGGCCACTCCTGCAGGAGCTGCAGCTGAGCTGAAGGACCTGGAAAAGGACTCAGCACAAGAGTGGGGCTGGGGTGTTTGGGCAGTGGGCATTTCAGATGGAGAAACAAAGCCAGGAGCCTGGCCACCTTCACTTAGCCTCCCAGAATGTGCCTCCCTTTTCTCCTGGTGGGGGTTACAAAGACCATTATCTGGGAGCCCCAGAACTAGCATGACAGAATTGCATTTCTCCCTGAGCGAAGGGCACACTCTGTGACTACTCCTGAAAACAGGGGCATAGGGAGCACCCTGCAGAGGACCAAGTTTGCCGTTACCAGTAGTGCAAAACTAACAAGCCTGCACATTGCCCCAGCCTCTCCCAACCTCAATGCATCATGGGTACACTGAGGGCAGCCAGAGACAGCAGGGCTACTCTGGGATTCCAGAGAGCTAAAACAAACAAACAAACAAACAAACAAGCAAGCAAACAACTTAGGATCCAGTGCCCCCTATTGGAAAATATAATAAAGACCTCTTCCTATTAATCTGCTAGAGAAATTCCCTTCACAGATTGATGATGCCTAGACAAAGAAGAAATCCAACAAATACCATGAATAACTGAGGTAGCAAGGCAGCTCAGAAAGAATATGAAAAATCTCCAATAAAACAAGCTTACAGACACAGAAATATGTGACATAAATGAAGGTGAATTCAAGGATGGAGTTCTGAAAATACTCAACGAGATGCAAGAAAATACAAACAGGAAACTTCACAAGCTCAGTAAACAATGAATTAAAGGAGTACTTCACCAAGGAGACTGAAACTTCAAAAAACAAACAAGCAAAAATATTGGAGATGAAGAGTTCAATAAAAGAGATCAACAATGAACTAGTGAGCATAGGATACAAAGCACACCAAAATGGATAAAAGCATCAGTGGTACCAAAGATAGAAATCTAGAAATGATACAGAGAGAAGAGATAGATCTGAGCATAAAAAAAGAGCTCTGTGAGAACTATCTGATTTTATCAGTAAAAGCTTTATACGAGTAATAGGCATACTGGAGAAAGAAGACAGGGAGAAGGGAACCGAGAGCCTATTCAAAGAGTAGATGAGAACTCCCCAAACCTGCAGAAAGAACTAGATCCTCAAATCCAAGAAGCAAACAGAACACCTAGTTACCACAGTACAAAGAAGACTTCTCCAAAACACACTGTATTAAAACTATCAAAAATTAACAACAAACTTAGGATTCTCAAGACAGCCAGGGAAAAGAAAAAAGTAACCTACAAAGGAAAGCCCATCAGATTATCATCAGACTTCTCAGCAGAAACTCTACAAGCCAGAAGAGAGTGGAACCAAATATTCAAATAACTGAAAGAGAGAACTTAACAGCCAAGAATAATATATCCAGCAAAGTTATCCTTTAAATATGAAGGGGAAATAAAGGCATTTTCCAGACATACAGAATCTGAGGGAATTCATTACCAAATGACCTCCATTAAAGAAAACACACAAAAGGGTTATTCTACCTGGAATAAAAAACAAAAGGTAACAAATCTATGAGCAAGATGACCAACAAAATTAGAGCACAAAAAAGGGATAACTTGTGGCAATAAAATCATAAAAAGGAAAGGGGGAAATATCTGAACTAGCCAAAAAAAAATGATGAAGTTAAGATGCATCAAGAAAACTACTGTATACATGAAACTTAATTTTTCATAAATCCAAAGGTAACCACAGACAAAAGAACAAAACAAAACTGAGACGCATAATGTATAAAAGAGGAAATACAGGGTGGAAGTTAAGAATACCATCAAACAAATATGTCAGACAAAAACACAAAGAAAAAGAACAACTAGAGGCAGAGAGCTATAAGAAAATGAAACATAAGATGGTGGGGGAGTAGGAGAAAGGATTCTGCTTCCTCACACTCAAGGAAGAAAAACCTGGCTGATCTGTAGAGGAGCACAGCAAATAGCCAACAGGGATCCAGCATATAGGAAAATAGGACTCCAGAAATTGGAGCGGACACTGAATGAACTAGACAGTGAGGAGACTGTGCAGGTCAACAAGGTTCGAGGGAACAGCGCAGAGGCCACAGGCCCTCAGCCAGGCTGCGCCAGGGCCCAGGCCCGTCCACCTCCATCTCTGGGAGCAGAGGGCTAGCAGCAAGGTTCTTGGGAGAGAGCCAGTCATCAGCTCCCTCCCTACCCGGCCAGGCAAAGTTTGAAAAACACCAGGAGACATCAGTTTGCTTATAGTGTCACAGAGAGGAATGGGCATGAGGAAGCAAACGAGAGGGCTTTGATCACCAGTAGAGTCTGTGGTCCCAGCTTGGGAGAATTGAGAGTTGGTAGCTCTTGCATTCCCCCATAGCACTGGGAAAGGTTCTCCCCTGGGCCTTTGGGACCAGGGGAGCCTGGTTGGGAGCATGCGCTCACACCGCAGCCCAGGACTGTGAATCCTCGGGAAAGTCTGCTCTCAGTGGGGCACTGGGGAGAGGCCCATTTCCGGGTCTTGGGAGAGCACTCTAGAGACTGGCTGAGTTCACCGAGGAGGGAAAAAAGCCACACCAATCGCTGCTCAGACTGCTGCAGCTAGTGTGATCAGAAAAAACAGTTTGAAAAGCTGGAAACCAACAAGAGATTTTTGTTTTGTTTTGTTTGAAATAACCTTTTTAAAAAAATTTTATTAGTTTTCTCTTTCAATACTTTTACCCTCTCTCTTCTGTCTTGTTTTATTCCTTCTTCCTTTCTTTCCAAACCTACCACTTTTTCCTCCCTTCAGCTGCCTTTTTCTTTCTTTTCTCCCCCTCTCCCCCCTGAGTGAGATAAAAGACTTGGAATGGCAAAAAGACCAGAGTTAGACTTAAAGAGGAGGCATCCCAACAGTAGAGACAGAGTGACAAATTTCACTTTCCTATAGCAGAAAAACTAAAAGTTATTGCATATTTGAATTTTTTCATTATTTTTCGTTATTCTAACATTTTTTATTTTGATAGAATCTTTGTAATCCTCCTCTTTCTTTATAGTCTTCTATACCTTTGCTGGATATATTGTATCACTTGACAGGTTTCCTCTGTCCCCTCAACCATAGTGTATTGCTAATTTACTATCCTTTGCCCAGTTAGCACACAATTGAAGATCCAATACTCCCTAATTTTGGTATATCATAGATTCTGTCATATGATTGTTGCTCTAATGTTATTGTAAATAATAGCTGTTACATACTATTCTAAATACTACACAAGACCCGCCCCCCCCCAGATCTTAGTCCACTTCATTGTTACCTGAACAATACTGTAGTGGTTAACTATTCTCTCTCACACTACACCTATTTACCATCCTTTATTCTCACCTTACCTCAGAATCTGACCTCCCTCAACTTTACTCCCCTCTGGATACAAATTACAAACCTTCTCTCCCCAAAAAGAGCCTAATCTTCTTTCCATTCTTTCTAAAAAGTGGCTAGTTGGGTTGAAGATTACAATTATCACTGTACCTACTGAGGGGATTTCCTATCTCTGCTGTACTGGCTGCTACTGTAAATATCAAAGGATATTTACAGTATCCTCACAACAATGACCTCCTGTGGTCATAAACCATTTTGCCTTCCCCTCCAGCTGATCACACACACACACACACACACACACACACACACAAACAAAAAGAGTAGGTGGAAGTGGTGAACACCAGCATACCCAAGGGAAGAGGAAACCCAAAAACAAAGGAACCACCAACAGATAACAAGAGGAGAAGGTGAAGGAAGGAGTAGAAACCACACAAACCTCAACTCAAGACCTATCTGGAAATACAACTAAACAGTGTAGAAACTACCCAGGGAAATCAACTGAACAAGAGCAAAAGAGAATCCTCAAAACCTTCTACACGCAGAACTAGCTTCAACGCAACCCACCCTCACCAGCACAACAAATTAAAACAGGTGGTGGACAGAGGGGCCATCAGTTCACCAGCCGGTGGGAAGGACCCACAAAAGAAAGACCCAGAAACAAAAACCCCAAGACAAACTCAGAGCCAACGTAAAAAAAACAGCCAAAGACCAGTGAGCTGGGGAAATCAAGGAGACTAC